ATTATCAAATGTTTAAAAAGGGATGGATGATGTAACACGGGGAATCATGCTTCCACTTCTATGAAATCAGAGCTAGCTTGAAAAAGCTAAAACTTTTAAACGTTTTTTTTTTTTTAAATCTCACTCTCAACATACTTCTCTTCAGATAATCTCAAGAGATTTTTTCCACTTCAGGTCAGATTTAATTCACTTTGGTTGATACTTCATGCACCTGGTTTTTCATTCTGTAATCAGTATCCTCAGTGACTACTCCTTTAATATAACCTTTATTATATCTTATCCTTTAATATCATTGATGAGAATCAGATTCTCCTATTATGCAGCCTGCTATGTTTATTTGTTGCTATTCCCTGTAGACCTTTGGTTGTGTACTTTTAGTTTTCCCAGACTCAATTTTAAAAATGTTCTTATTTCCCTTCTTGTTATTCTTCTTTTTATCTAAAACTTGGCACTCAAGGAGCCATTTTTGTTATTTCAGCCCAAAGTAAACTTTTCCAGATTTGCAAATGTTATATGACCTTTAATAAAATTTTTGATGAGCATCTTCTGTAGCAATTTATTGTTTAAAGGACTACCTTTTGAATTCTAGTTTTAGGTTTGATATAATGAAAAAAAAAGATTTATGGAAAATAGTTTTGAGAACGCATATTTTTTCAAACATAATGACAGGAAGTACAGGGAAAGAATAATAATACTGGTATTTTCAGTGTCATTTGCTTTGACCTTCAAGGTGCAGGAAGTCTGAATAACATTCACTGTCAGAATAGCAGTATCAGCCTGTTGATGAGGTGAGCTTCACATGAAGGAAAGTAAATATCAGCAAGAGTCAGGTCAGACACACAAATTGTGTATCTACCAGCTTGCATGGATTTTTCCCAGACATCTCCCTGCAGATTTCCATTGTCCATGCCTAAAGGTTTCTATGATTGTACCTGTGCCAAAAAAAAAAAAAACTTTACCTGGCTTGCCCATCCTTTCTAACTTCCTGGTCCTAAAGCTCTACGATCTGGTATTATCAACTCCTCTTTGTTACTGGATTGAAGAATTTATCCTCAACAAGCCCATGGTGACAAGGACAGGGAAACTCACATCTGCCTCACTCATTCTCAACATTGGCATGACACAGGGTTGTGTTCTCAGCCCCGTCTTTTCACACATGGCTGCCCTGCTATACCACAAACATGCTTTGAAGTTCACAGACAATGTCACTGTGCTGAGTCTCATATCAAACAATATATGATACATTGATGCTTCACCAACAACCTTATCCTGAACACTGGTAAGACCAAGGCTGTCAATGTATAATCCATGAGCACTAAGCACACCTCTCTCTGCATACAGGGGGGTGTGGTGGACAGTGTGGACACTCTGGGCATTCACATCCCCTCAGACCTCTCCTGGACTGAGATCACCGCCTACCTGGTGAAAAAAGCCCAACTCTCCTCAGCTACTAACAAACACTGGTGGAAAGCATCCTGTGTCTCAGCATGACAATGTGGTATGTGAGAGAAAGGACTTAACAGGGGTGGTTAGGACGGCATAGGAGCTTGTGGGGTGCCATCTGGAGGTTCTGGACTCGGTTTATGTTATACAAGTAGAGAAAAAGGCCAGACATGCTGCCAAAGATTAAATTCAGTTGCTTTTATTTATATAGCGCCAATTCAGAACACATCTCAAGGCATTTTGCAGAGACTTATCAATCAGATTGTACAGACAGATTGGGTAAAAGTTTTATATCTAAGCAAACCTAGCTGATTGTATTGAGTCCTTGACTTTGCAGGATTCCATCGATGAGCCTGTGGCGGCAGTAGATATTCTCTTGGATTCACTTGATAGAGCTTCCAAAGATCCCACCCACCTAAGCAGAGATGTTTGTCCTACTTCAATCAGGAAAACAATTCAGTAACATTACATCCTGAACAAATAGCTTAAAAAAAGATTATCCCCCAGAGCTGTAAGCTAAGTGTATGATTGCAGCCTAGAGACCTCCTGTGTTATAAGAGTGGTCTCATGGCACTTGCCTGGAGAGGTTAAAGTACACCCACTATCACAAGTCAATTTAACATTTAATAGCTAGACTGTTACCTTGCAAGCAAGATGAAATGTTGCGAGATTTGTGAATTCACAAACTCCCAAAAATACCTCTTGCCAGAATTCAATAAATGCATTCTCCACAATACAAAAATGTTTCGCACCATTGAGATGTAGTGCTGTGTATGACATCAATGTGTCAACCACAGTCGGAGGGCTCAGGCAAAACAAAGATGGCTTTGCCCGTTTTATCTGGTATACCCTGTATTTCTTTTTGAAAAATTTGCAAGATGATGCAATTTTTACATTAGTGGTTGTGAAGATGGTTGATGTTTCCTTCTGACCAGATTTGGTAAAAGTTTGATTTATCAGGTAACTCTGCCAGTTGTGAAAATAATCAAGAACGTGATACGTCACAGCTGCTACCATTGGTGTGACTGGCAGAAGTCAGTTGGCAACTGTTTTATGCCAGCTTAGATAGACTGTACATTTCTTAGTGATATCTACAACCTAAATTGCCTTGTCAAAACTCTTAT